GGGAGGGCGTGGCTGGGCCGGAGGGCGTGGCCCGCGGACACACACGTCGCGCCCCCGCGGGGGTCGCTGCGCCGCTCTGTGCTGACCAGCGCCGCACTCGCCTGGCTGCGGAGCCCGGGCTTGCGCCGTGGGCCGGAGAGGAAACCGGTTGGCTCCTTTGGGCTGTAGTTCCACTGCCAAACACTTCTGTTTCCCGGAAGTTAGAGTCGGCCTGCGCCACTTTAGGGCCGGGGAACGGAGGAATCCTCGGAATTATCCGAGCCCTGGTGGCGCTGTGGGTTGGGCACTGGGCTGCTAACTGCCGGCTCAGGTTCGAACCCGCCAGCCGCTCCACGGGTGGAACTTGGAGCTGGTACCTTAAAAAGTTACAGCCTTGGAAACCCTATAGGGTCGCTAGGGATCGGAATCGTAGGATGTTTGGTTTTTATGGGGTTATTTTTCGGGGGGGGGGGCAGTGTCACTTAAATAGCACTTTAATCTTAGCGATTCTATCAGAAAAGTACTGAGGAGGAAACCAAGAGGTACTTAAAAGACTTCAAAAACCCCTTCTAATTCAATCAACAAAGAAAAAATATGAGTTTTAAAAATAAGAGTTTGAATGCTGTTCTCGTCAATATATTACTTGACCTCGTGTATTTCCCCGGAGCCTGATGGTAAAGTGGCTACTGCAATGGCAGCAGTCAGACCTGCCAGCTGCCCCATGGAAGAAAAAGTGCCCTTTCGACTCCCGAAAACAGTTACAGTCGATGAATCAATAGCTATGGATCAACAGCTGAATGAGAATTTCTACTAATACAAGCTTAAGAAATCCGATGATTTCAAAAGATCATGGACTATTTCATGTCCCTTTGCTCTTCTATATCCTAATCTGCATAAATATTCTTCAAGAGTTGGTTCAGAGGATCTCCGAACTACCTTGCTCCCTCAGATAAAGCAGCACTTCAGTTCACCTGTGTTGCCCTAAGTTGTTTTTACCCCTGTATCTGGTTACCTGGTCATATCAGTCATTTTATAAGGAAGGGATCCAAGGTCAAACTTGTCCCTCAGGCACATTTGTGTCATTTTCAGCTTCTCAGCAGTCTTGAATCCCTACAACCCAGTGTAAGTTTCTAGCAAAGCTAAGGATGGGTCCCTTACAACACATCCCCCCACCCATCATCCTGTTCAGCAATCTGTTTCCTTTATCCAGCTAAGGTTCCTCTCGCTTCCTTCCTCCTTCTCAGATTGATAACACCCCTGCTCCCAGCCACCTCACAGCCTGTAGTGTTGATGTTATTTGTCTGTTTTTTGGAGATCTCTCATGGGATCCATGCTACTAAAGGGCAATAAACAGGGAGAAAAGATGATTTTCAACTACTTCTGGCCTGGATTTACTGAGATCTTAAGTCTCATGGAAAGAGACTATATCTTTTTTTCCCTGCGATCTTTTAATGCAGAGTTGGTGACCCTTAACGTTCAAGGTTATCTCCTTAATGCAAACAAACCAAAACCTAACATGTTGCCATTGTATCAATTCTGATTCATAGCAACCATGTAGGATGGGTTAGAACTGCCCCTGTGAGTTTCTGAGACTATAACTCTTAATGGGAGAAGAAAGCCTCATCTGTCTCCCTAAGAGCTGCTGGTGGTTTCGAACTGCTAACCTTGGGGTGAGCAGCCCAACACAAAACCACTACACCACCAGGGCAAATCAGGTAAGGGTTTGTTGGTGGTTGGGGTGGGGGGGGTGGGGTTACTAAAAGTAAGCCTTCCTGTTCGCTGAAGTTCCAGCAGGTGGCAGTCACCTCTGCCCACCCCTAACAGGCTCCAGGGATCTGGGAGCAAACTTTCCAGAATGCACCTGAAGAGGAAAGAAGGAAGTTAGGTGAGCATAGGGCACCAAGCTTTTTACCTTTTCTGCCTGAATTAGAGCTTGTACATTTGGGGACAGGAACTTAAACCGTGTCTGACTCATGTTTTTACTGGACCACAATTGTGTTTAGCCCTTGGAAGATACTTCCTCAATTTTAGACAAGCTAAGGGTTACTTTTCTCTGCAAGCCAAAAAGTGCATAGTAAAAAGAACACGAGTCGGACACAGCTGAGTTCCTATCTTACAGTTTACTCTTTAATTCAGGCAGTTAGTTAACTTCTCTGTTCCTCAATGGTAAAACCTTAACATCACCATGTTTCTGTGAAGATTTCGGATACTTTACGCTGAAATGTGGATGCAAACTAAAGCTCTTCAAAAGGCCCACTCTGAAGATTCTCAGGTGCTCGAAAGGACAGTAATCTTAGGACTTGAGGGTTATGCAGACCAGAAATGTTGGTGGGGACCATCAAGTCAGTATGAGCTTAGAGTGACCCGATGTGACAGAATAGCACTGTTTCGTGAGGTTTTCTAGGCGGAAATGTTCACCGGGGTGGGTTTGAACCCCTAGCCTATCAGTTAAGAGGAGAACTAACTGCACTTTCCTTGATCGTGAACTAGCACACCCTATATGGGAAACAGGATTTCTCCCAAGCTGTCTCCCCCAAATATATGCCAGACTTAGCTGCTTCAGAATATAACTATACACATGGAGATTATCAGGAGTAGATTAGGGGTCATTCTCCCTAAGAGCTATCAGCCATCTAGACCAAGCAGACACCACTGTTTATCCCACAAGTAGGGCCCACTCCCTTCTGATAAGGATAGTAGTTGTCTGTTTCCTTGTAGGAGACACCAGAGAAGTCAAACCCGCCCAAGGATGACCAAGGTTAGGCTGCCATCATGAATCCAGGGTCCGCCCATCTTGTCACATGTATACCCCTAGACCTTCCCATTCCTATGGGCACACCCCTAGCTCATCCCCTTCCTGTCACGCTTATGCCTATCATAGATCCCCTTCCTACAATGTGCATGCCTATTGTACTGCCCCTTCCTGTGACATGTGATTCTGTAATCATGTCCCCCTAAAGTGATACACGCTTGGTTAGCAATAAAGAAAAAGCTCTCTCCGGTCCTGGCTTCCCGGGGCTCTCCTCGGTTCTCAGGTGCTGGAGGCTCTTTCCTGCTCTCGTGGCCGGGTTCCCCCCAGGAGGACCACCAAGCGGGGCTGAGGTGAGCACGCTCCATGACTTGGGTCTGACTCCATTACCTGACTCTTCTACCTCTCATGCTCTCTATGACTTTACTATGATCTTTACTTATTATCGCTGTACAATTGCGCCTACCGGACCAGTGATGATTTGTGGAGGAACCCCCCCTTCACCCCACAACCCTAGTTAATGACAACACAGTGACTAACAATGAAATCCTTTTAAGTTTTATTTTGGAGAAAGGAAATATAGGAAAAGTCACACACATTAAACAATCCATCATGCCAAGCTCCTGGGGAGTAAAAATTCCCAGGTAGGAGGGCTATCTCCCTCAGTTTGTCTTGTCAGTATGAATAAAAAGCATCTCCCTGTCACCTGTACTCAGAACTGGCTCAAGTACGGTAGAGCAGCCAATTTAAGTGTGAAGGGTAAAGATTCCCAATACGCCAGTCTCCCATCATGCATCTTCCTCTTGGTGGTGACGTCAGTGACCACAGCACAGGGAGCCTGTGGCAAGGTTCCCAGCATGCAGCAGCAACAGCCATCCATGAATACTGTGTGGTGAGGGTGGACCAGTGCCTTTAGATTCATAGCTCTGCATGATGTGCTTCTGTCTTCAGCAATTCACTCGGTTTCATGAATATGCCTTCCATGGTTTTCCAGTAGTTGTTCTGGCTGGGCTGGGCCATGCCATGCACCTCTTTTTGCCCACTGATGGGGCGACCATATTGTTCTCCTGTAACAGACAGCAGTACCTCAGTGGAAGAGTGTTTGAACCGCACTTCACCATCTCTTATCCAGTAGGGTCCATTACAGAGCACTGTCCAGTCATCCAGATAATCGCCTTCACCTTCTTCACCAAAAGCACTGACTTCCTGCAAGACAGACAGTGGCAGCATTAGCATGTACTGACCAAGGCCTGGAAGCGGGAGAGGGGCCTTCACAATGAAAAGAAAGACTGCTCCAACCGTGCAAAAGGAGGTTTCCCGGTGTTGCTTAAAAACAACCAAACAAAACAGAAACAAAAGCCCTGGCGGGATACTGGTGACTCACTGGGCTGCTGACTACAGCCCCAGCGATCTGAAAACACCAGCCACCGCTCAGGAAAAAGACAAGGCTTTCTACTCCTGTGAAGAGTTATGACGTATTGCATTGGGCAAGTCTCTTGAACAAGACCTCTTTAAATCATTCAAGAGCAAGGATCTTCCTTTGAGGAGTAAAGTGCACCTGACCCAAGCTATGGTCTTTTATTTATTTAAATCATTTTATTGGGGGCTCATACAACTCTTATCATAATCCATACATACATCTTGTCAAGCACATTTGTACATTTATTGCCCTCATCATTCTCAAAACATTTGCTTTCTACTTGAGCCTTTGGTATCAGCTCATTTTCCCCTCCCTCCTCACCCCCCTTCCCTCATGAACCCTTGATAATTTATAAATTATTACTTTGTCATGTCTTACACTGTCCAATGTCTCCCTTCACCCACTTTTATGGTGTCCGGCCCCCAGGGAGGTTATATGTAGATCCGGATAATCAGTTCCCCCTTTCTACCCTACCTTCCCTCCACCCTCCTAGTATCACCTCTCACAGCTGGTCCTGAGGGGTTCATCTCTCCTGGGATCCCTGTGTTTCCAGTTCCTATCTGTACCGTGTACATCCTCTGGTCTAGCCGGATTTGTAAGGTAGAATTAGGATGATAGTGGGGGATGGAAACATCAAAGAACTAGAGGAAAGTTGTTAGTTTCATCGTTGCTCCACTGCATCCTGACTGGCTCATCTCTTCCCTGCAACACTTCAGTAAGGGGATTTTTGGGTTCCCACTCCGCACTCCCCCTCCTTCACAATGATAAGATTTTTTTGTCTTTTGATGTCTGATACCTGATCCCTTCAGCACCTCGTGATCACACAGGCTGGTATGCTTCTTCCATGGGGGTTTAGGCGATTATAAAGAGACTTGTCCCCAGCTTTGTCTCTCACAAAGACATGCCAAACATTAAAGGCTTTTTGCCAGCATATGGGGGTAGGTCAGATGCTTAGAGACATCATCCCTGAAGTCAATTACGGGCCCCACTCCCTGCTGTTAAGGACAATAGGCTACTTCTCCCAAGAGGCTTGGGACCATTAGCTTGGTTCCTGTAGGTGGGGTTTGACACCCTACTAATAATGGTTTCTGTGGAGAACAGATCAAATTGGCTCAGTTACATCCAAAGTTAGGCTGCCCTGTATCTAGGATCCGCCCATCTTGTCACATGTATATCCCCAATCCTTCCTCTTCCTATTGTGTGTATATGCTAGATTGTCCCCTTCTCATTGCTGTATAACCTATAGTGCAACCCCTTCCTGTGACATATCTTTACCTGTAATTAGCAGGCTTGCACTCCCCACCAAAGATATGTAGGCCTGGGTTAGCAATAAAGATCTCTCAGGCTCCTTCCCTTCCTCCTCCACGTGGACCACCAAGTGGGGCTGGGGTGAGCACTGCTACCATGAAATGTGTCTGACTCCATTATTTCTATCTCTCATGCTCTCAATGATTTTAACATAATATTTATATATCTCAACCGTACAATTTGCCTATTGAACCCGTGATTAGGGTGGGGGGCTGGCACTCCTTCCAACCACATGGGCTTTGCTGCATCTCAGCTAGATGGTGGCCGCTTGTTACCTACAAGCCTTTAAGACCCCAGATGCTATATCTTTTGATAGCCGGGCACTATCATCTTTCTTCACCACATTTGTTTATGCACCCATTTGTCTACAGCGATTGTGTCAGGAAGGTGAGCATCATGGAATGCCAGGTTAATAGAACAAAGTATTCTTGCGTGGAAGGAGTACTTGAGTGGAGGCCCAATGTCCATCTGCTACCTTAATACTAAACCTATAAATATATGCACATAGATCTATTTCCCCATCATATATAAATATATTTACATATGTACATGCCTATATTTAGACCTCTATAAATGCCCATTGCCTCCTAGATCTTTCCTCTATTTCCTTTTACTTTCCTCTTGTCCCACTCCACTATCATGCTCAGCCTTCATTTGGGTTTCAGTAATTCCTCTCAGTTACATAACCCTTGATCAAGCCCTACCAGTCCTCTTACACAGTCACCACTGATTTTGGATCACTTGTTCCCTTGTCCCAGGGTTTGTTAACACCACTTCCTTTCCCCCCACCTTCCTCTCTCCCACGTTCCCCTGGAACCATTGGTACTGTTGTTTTCTCCTCCAGATTGTTTATTCAAACAAAACAAAAAACCAATGACAAGAAAAGCCTGTAAATAGTTCAAGGTCTGTTTGTTGACTTTTAGGAGTGTTTTCTAGTAGAATCTGATGGTGTGTCTCTCCCTGGCCCCAAAGTCTATTTTTGGTATTCCCTCTGGACTTCCTTGCCCTGCTCCCCTTGCTGTTCTGTTGCACGCCCTTAGTGTTTTGCCTCGGTGTGGTGGGGTCCGATCAGGCGCAATTCCCACATTGTGTCTGTCTCCAGTGTTGTCCCCTGAAGGGCTATGGGTCAGTAAGGAATGTTGTGTCTCATAGTGGGGCCGGCCATATGGTCTTCTCTGTGCTTTGACTGCTCTGAGCGGGGATATCATCTTCAAGGCTTGGTGGGCCAGGATGTGCTCCACTCTCTCTTCCTCCCCCTTCATTTGCTCCCGTGTGCTCTGATCAGACATGTGTCTCTCCCTGAGCTGTAGCTTCAGTGCTGTCCTCTGAAGTAAAGTCTGGGAGGAAGCCGTGGTCTTTTCAATGGCCTCAGGCATGGGAAAGTTGGTCACTGAATCAGGAAGACTGAAGAAGAATCCATTCATCTGAATCATGGTGCTGATGAAGAACACTGCAAGTACCATGGGCTGCCAAAGCAACAAACATCTGTCTTGCAACAGATACAGACAGAATGCTCCTTAGAGGCAAGGGCGACCGAATTTTGGGAAGTTTTAACATGACTGGAAGTGTTATCAGGAGAGGCCAGTCGCTGGAGAAGGCCATCTGCTAAGTAAAGCAGAGGGGCAGAGAAAAAGATGAAGGCCCTCGATGAGATGGACTGACACTAGCCACAGATTGGGCTCAAACAGAAGGACAGCTACGAGGACGGTACAAGACCAGGCGGTGTTCGTTCTGTCACACGTGAGATTGCTGAGCTGCAACTAACTCCCTAGCACCTAGTGACAACCAGTCTCCACGATCCCAGAAACAAACCCACAGGGTAGGGTCTACCCTGTCCTAGAAGGCTGTCATGAACCAAGATCAACTTGATTGCAGTGAATTTATGGTCTTGTGAAGATTATGAAGACTAGCCTCGACCCAAAACTCATCTGAAAGACAATGGGAGACCCCTCACAGAAAGGTCGCAATGAAGGAATGAGTCAGCCAGGGTAAAGTATAGCACCAATGTAACACACAGTATTCCTCTGGTTCCTTGAGGCTTCCTCACCCCCTACTATCATGACCTCAGTCCTGCCTTTCACTGCGGGCAAGGCTGCAGCATGTCCACAGGTACAGATAAGAGCTCAGGACACACAGAATCCAGGTCAGATAAACCCATCAGGAACAGAAATGGGAGTAGCCATGCTAACCAGGAGGGTAGGGGGGGAGTAGGGGGGAAGAAACAGCAGGGGAGTGGAGACAGCAGTCAGTGTATCAGGGTGATATTAAATTAATCATTTATAATTGATCAAGGGGTCACAAGGTGGGGAGGGAGGGTAAAAAGAGGAGCCGGTACATATCAAGGGTTCAATAGAATGTAAATGTTTAGAAAATAATGATGGCAACATATGTACAAATATGTTTTATATAATTGATGTATGGGGCTATAAGAGCTGTGAGAGTTTAAAAAAATGATTTTGAAAAAGAACTGTAAGAGCCCCCAATAAAAAGATCTAAAAAAAAAAAAAAAGACTAGCTTCAAAGGTCATCTAGGTCAATTGGCAATACCTGGTCCACAAAGATAATGTTCTACACCCTACTTTGGTGAGTAATGAGCAGTTACCTAAAAAATAACAATTAGTCTCCTCCCGTCCAAAGCAAAGAAGAGCGATGAAAGTCAGATTCAAGAAAACAAATTGAAAACACACACACACAAAACGTGGTTCAGAGGACTAATGACCCATATGAACCACACCTTCACAACTCTGAGATCAGAAGATCTAGACCAGTGTTTCCCCCAGTGGGCCATACCACCCTCTGGGAGGTGCTGGGGCAATCCAAGGGGGCTACCAAAGCAGATACCTGCACTTTATCCTGGACTATGGCTAAAGTTTTTGCTTCCTGGGGGGATGCTGAGTAATTTATTTCGGAAAGGAGTAGTAGGCCATATAAGTTTGGGAACTTCTAGCCCATAATCCAGGATAAAGTATAGGTATCTGCTTTTGCCAAACATGCCCCCAGAAGGTTATTTGGCCTTGCTACTACCACTACTGACTGAACAAGGTCCTGGACCAAGGAGAAAAATGAAGCACAAAATTCAGAATTATAAAAAGTGATCAGAAAGTACCCAAGCTTCTAAATCAGCTGTGCGGAAAGAAAGTGAGCCCGGAGGCCAGAGGCAGGAAGCACTGGGAGTGGCAGGATGTCTGGAAGGGTGAGCTCAACAGTCTAAGACCATCTCATCTTAAGCCTGCAGGCATCAGAGCCCTGGCTGATTATAAACTCATAAAGGGCATCAACCCCGTGACTCTTTTTTTCATGGACCTGTGCAGCTTACTTCGTTGTGTATGCCCAGACAAGACCCAGCTGGGGGAGAGCAAGACCGGGTTTATGACTGGACCTGAGAAATCAGACCGGGTCCCAGGATTGGTCTGTTTCTAACCCAGAGATGCAGACAGGCCACCCACCTATTCCACACCTGATAAAGCTCGCCCCGCCCCGCCCCCTCCCGACACAATTCATTCAAAGGCAACTCACTCAAACTTCCCATCTGCTGTGCCAGGCACTTTTCTTTCCTTCCCAAATCAACTCTGCTTTCTGCTTGCCCTTTTGTGGTCCTCGAGGCCATTGCTCAGTTCGAGAGACCCTGAACACCTCAGAGCATTTGCAACACCATCAACCATATGAAACCAAAGTGGCAGCATTTGTCAAAAGAATGAGCTGAGAAGGCAGGCAGGGTGCTTGCTTCGGTAGCACATATACTAAAATTGGAGAAGGCAGGAAGGGGCAGGGTAAATGGGGGAAGGGAAACTGGGAAGCCAGGGAGGAAGTGGGAAGAGTGAGGTTACGTTGAGAGGGTTGCAACTAATATCAGGAAACAAAATGTATATAAAGTGTTAAATGGGAAAATTAATTTGCTATGTCAACTTTCACCCAAATCACAGTAAAATGTTTCTTTCAAAACAAAAAACAAACCTGTGGAGAAAAAGAACAAAGACCCACCCAGGGCATCAAACAGAACTCAGTGATTGCAGATTATGTTCCAAACACTTAACTTCAAGGAGGAGTCCTGTTATTTGCCTATGGCCTATTTCCTACTGTAGTTTTTAAATATTCTAACTCTTGTTAGTAGGCTTTAGACAATTCTGCCTCATACCCTTAATCGCTAAAAGCCATCCACGTTGGAAAGGAGATGGGCTCTTGAGTCAGGCTGACCTGGCCTTGAGTCTCAGCTCAATCCCTTCCAGTGTGAACTCCATTAAGCCTTAAATGACAATACCATCTCAGAGATAAATATGAATGATAAAAGCACAGTAGGCTCTCAATCTTTTATTCCCCTTCCAATTTCAGTGTCCATCACAATGGCCATCAAAAGGTACTTAAAATAATCAACATATCAACATACCACTGCTATTTAATTTTAGATGACTTCAGTCATTTGGAAATGAATAGAGTCTTTAAGACTGAAGTAAAAAGAAATGACCCATAAGTACTGGGTTTAGTTGATGAAATTGTTTCCCATAAGGCTGTGTTAACAGATTCTGATGCTAGAATTGAGCAATCGAGTAAATGGATGGCAGATTGTGAAAGCCAGGTCTCTGGGGGTTTTGTAGCTTATTTCATCCCATTTACTTATCTTTTAAAACCTTATTATAAAATAGGTGAAGGCTTACAGATCAGATCATCAGCATATATGACTAGTTTTCCATTCAACAAGGCAAACACATCCTGAATCAATTCATCCATTGTAGTCCATGGATTATCCCACTTCTGGTATTTCCTTTTCTCTCATTCCTTCTTTCCTAAGCCTGAGAACTTTGTCTGAATGCTGCACTTTTTTTGTTGTTGTTGAAGTTTTTGTTTTGTTTTTCATTGTTATTGTTTTTTTTTTTGTTTTGTTTCTTGTTTTATATTTTCTGTATATGAAATCTAGGATTGGTAAATCTACAGAGACAATTAACAGGATTCAAAAATTATTTAGAGGGATGGAAGAGAAGGTTGAGGGAAAATAGGGAACTAACAGCAAGTATAAGAAAGAAGAACATGTTCTGACATTGATTGTGGTGCTGACTACATACTCTTCTTAGTATAAGTAACATTAAATTGTATGATATGTAAATTACCTGCCAATAAAACTATTTTAAAAAAATCATTAGAAATCATTTACATCAAGACTACGAAGGAAGGGAACAACCTGCCAGTAGCTCTAGAACTGAATGCTGCACTCCTGCCCCTAACTGGGGGATGATTCTAGTGCAGAATGAGTTTAGTTCCAGACCTGAGGGGAAAGGCCACAGTCTTGGGAGGTTTCCCACTGTTGGAGAAAGAATACACAAAGTACACGGAGACGAGAATGGTAAGGGATTAGAGAAGAGTTGTAGACATCAGTACAAACACAGAAAATAAAGATGGCCATTGAACGTGATGATAATTGCACAACTCTTCTTGATATGACTGAATTATTGACTTATATGACGTGGATTACGTGCCAATAAAACTACAAAACAGAAAATACAGGCGGCTACACATAGATATATTTAGAAGTATGTCTATACAGAGGTTGGTATCCTTCTTGAGGAGGCTTCAAAAAGTTTATGGAAAAACGTCATTATCTTTTCATTCCATTTTCCCACACTTTCTGAAGCTCCCTTGTAGCTCTTTGTGCTGACGGAGGGCCTAAAAGAGATGACATTTCAATAGTAACAAAAGACACCTAGGATTCAGGCTTTGGTGTTTATCATCATTTTCCAGTAACAGAAATGCTGGTTCTAGAGGAGACAGGACTATGGTAATGCTAAGACCAAGGCAGGAGAAACACGACATGAACCGGGAGTATCTGCTAAGAAGCACCCTGAATAACAACCCACCATGGTGGAGGCATGTCAACCAGAAAAGCCCCCAACGGCTGGAGCTAGACTTTAAGTAATAAAGTAAAAAATCACCCAAAAGATAAACTCACTGCCATCCAGCCGATGTCAACTCACAGCAACTCTATAAAGTACTGAATTATAACCCAAAGTATAAAATAAATACGCATGAATTAATGTTGACCTACAGACTCCACACAGCAACTCTTTTCCAAAGAGAACAGTATAGAAGGGTATATAGACATGGAAAGAGGAACTTTACAGCTAAAAGATGATCAAGATCAACATCATCAGCCATATATCGTGTAGACATTATGTACCCTTGGCACAATGTGATAAAAATGGTCTTCTCAAGCACCCTTACTTCTAGTCTAATGAGAAAAACAGCAAATTCCAATAGAGGGGCATCCTATAAGATACCTGACCATTATTTCTCTAAACTATCAGGGTCATTGAAAACAAGGCCCGTCTGAGAAACTGTCCCAGCCAAGAGGTGCCTAAAGCAGCCTAATCAATGCAATGTGGCACCCTGGAAAGAAAAATGACACAGGGTGAAAATTAAGAAAAAATGAACCAAGAGCCTTCATGGATATAATATAGCAATATTGACTCATCAATTGTAACAAACATACCATACCAACATCAAATGTTAATACTAGGGGAAACCAATATAGGAAGAGATGGAGGAGGGGAGAAGTCATTAAAGGGTTCATGGTGGAGTCTACAGCCCCTCAAAGCTCAGGACTTTTCAAAATGGCAATGCCAGGGAGAAAAGTTACAATAGCAAGAGGTCTCAAGTCCCTGGCATTCAATGCTGAGCAGTGTGCACAATGGAATGCGCTTTTGTAGGAAACATTTTATGATGTCAAAGATAAATTTAGTGAGCCTAAAATAAGGAAAAAAAGACAATGCTACTTTGTTTTACTAACATGGAAGTTCCCAAAGGGTAATAGCCTGTAGATTGTTCTCCAGAATGACTAGTTGGCAAGATTAAGAAATGAATGAATGTTAACGCTAATCCTAAGTCTGGAAGACACTGGGGTTCCCATGGGGCAGCTCTCTCCTGCCCTCTGCGTCAGAATGGCTTGATGGAAGAAAGAAAGCAATATCAGAACTCGCGATATGCTAGCGTATACCTACTCTCTCTTTCCTTCTTAGTTCTTGATATGGCCTAGGGGCCAAGTCTCCATGTGGATCGGAAATAACTCTCTTTTTATTTAATAGAACTACTTCTCTCTCCAGTGTGCACAAAAGGGAGAACATTTACACCTGGAAAAGAAAGGACTAAGTATCAGATCAAATAACCACTCACATGAGCAACACACAGAGCAGCAATGATGCCACCTCACCTGGTTCCCAGAAAGCGGGGAGGTAAAGTGGTGACTGTGGAGATTTCTGCCAGTGTTGACATGTGTCAGCCGAATTGGCTGACCACATTTGACAGGGGTTCCTCTTTCACACACTGTGGCGGTCTTCCCCCGGATCCTCCAGTAACTGTTGCTGTCATCCACAGAGGTTACACCTGTCACTGACTGCTGCCCACTACCTGCCATCAAGCAAAGAAAGAGCAGTGAGCACCACCGGGTCCTTCTCTTTCACATACACAATACTGTCTTCTGCAGCAGCATACATGGGTGTGCCGGGGTGAAGAGGAAATTCTATACTTGATCATATGCTTTCTTCTAAAATTTTTAAATTTTTAAATATATACGAAAATACTAGGTGCCTGTGTACAAGACTATTATATGATACGCTAAAGAATGTGTCATATGGTACAATTTCAAAAAATTGCATTAAAGAGCACTAGATACATAAGTAAGGATCCCTGGTGCATAGTGGTTACTCTTTGGGCTGCTAGTCAGCTGTTCGAAACCACCAGCTGCTCTGCGGGACAGTCTCAGAAACCCACGGGTCTCTCCTCCCCTCTGGGTTAGAAAGGACTTGATGGCAGAGAGAAAGCTCTGGTGTCCAGATGGATTTCCACAATGGGCTGCTAACTGAAAGGTCAGCAATTCAAACACACCAGCTATTCCTCAGGAGAAAGATTTACCATATCAGAAATCCAAAGGGGCATTTCCACTCTGTCTTACTGTGTCACTTTGTGTTGGAATGGACGGAAGCAGTGGGTTCAGTTTGGTTTAAAAGAATAGCTAAAGGATCAAAAGATATAGCGTCTGGGGTCTTAAAAGCTTGAAGGTAAACAAGCGGCCATCTAGCTCAGAAGCAACAAAGCCCACATGGAAGCAGCACACCAGCCTGTGCGATCAAGAGGTGTCGAAGGGATCAGGTATAAGGCAACAAAGGTCGAAGGCATCAGGTATAAGGCATCAAAAAATCTTACCATAGTGAATGAGGGAGGAGTGCGGAGTGGAGACCCAAAACCCATTTGTAGGCCACTGGAGATCCCCTTGCAAAGGGGTCTCAGGGAGGAGACGCGCCAGTCAGGGTGCGATGTAGCAACGATGAGAAATACAACTTTCCTCTAGTTCATAATGCTTCCTCCTCCCCGCTATCATGATCCGAATTCTACCTTGCAAGTCTGGCTAGACCAGAGGAAGTACACTGGTACAGATAGGGACTGGAAACACAGGGAATCCAGGGCAGATGATCCCTTCAGGACCAGTGTGTGAGTGACGATACTGGGAGCTTAAATGGAGAGTGGGTTGGAAAGGGAACCGATTACATGGATCTACATGTGACCTCCTCCCTGGGGGACGGACAACAGAAAAGTGGGTGAAGGGAGACATCGGGCAGGGCAAGATATGACAAAATAATAACTTATAAATTATCAAGGGTTCATGAGGGAGGGGGGAGCGGGAAGAGAGGGGAAAAATGAGGACCTGCTGCCAGGGGCTTAAGTGGAGAGCAAATGTTTTGAGAATGATGAAGGCAATGAATGTCCAAATGTGCTTTACACAATTGATGTGTGTATGGATTGTGATAAGAGTTGTATGAGCCCCTAATAAAATGATTTTTAAAAAAAGGCTAGCTAAAAATAAAAATTAAAAAAAGGCTAGCTAAAGGAAGGCGAAATCGGTGGATTGGTCTTCTTTTCTGAAACATTTGGCAGTCATTATGAGCTGTGTAGTCAGTAGGGAGGAACTGATTGTTTGCCCACATTTACCCAGGATCCTACAGGGGGCTCCTGCTACTGCCTTCTCACTGCCATCAAGTGGATGTCGACTCATAGTGGTTCTGTACAACAGGACAGAACTGCACCTGAGGGTTCCAAACTGCGGATCGCAGCCCAAGGCATCTGCCACCATGGTTCCTAGCTACTGCTTTACAGGTCTTGGAATCCCTACACCCATGCTTCACGAAATCATGGTCTACAAAGTTCCCTCTTCCTCTTCTCATCCTTAAGTCTTGACATGACCTAGAATTTTATCCCCGATCGCATCCTTTTCCTTTTTTTCCATCCTTTTCTTAAAAATTATAACTTATACACAATAGTTCTTGAGACACTTGAGTATCAAAATAAAGGCATTTGTATTTTTTAGAGGCTTCTCAAGCGGTTTAGAACCACAGTTCATCCTGAACAAGCTCCTCCACCCCACCCCCATGACATCTTCCACCGCCAACTGAAACTCTGGCTCTCAGGCTCAGCACAGAGCTCTCTCTTCTGAGCTCCAGATTGAAACTGGTTCCCAAATCTGGCTGCCCTTCAGAAACACCTGAAGGCCTTCTTAATTCTACAGATTCCTATTGGCAGGCCTGTCCCCACTCCCACTCTGACTCAGTAAATTCAAAGTAAGAAACCAGATGAAACAAAAAAAGCAATATGCCTGACACACAGTAGGTGTTCACTGAGTGGTTGCTTAGGATTATGACATCCCAAAAGGACAATTCAGTTCCCTTCCAGGCCTAACTGGTCAAACGGGTTGGAGGACTAGGGCACACAGGTGAGCCCATCTGAAAGGTACTCTTTCCTTTCAGCTACTAGGAGCATTAGTCACCCAAGGCAGAAACCTAGCAGCCAGAACCTAGCAGCCATCGTGGATGCCCCTTAGGTCTCATCAGCTGGTTTTATTTTCTGGTACCCTGCTCACTGGTTCACTGTCTCTCTTGTACCTAGAACAAAACCAAGGATATAATGTGGTAGGAGTTCATGCAACCTATGCTGAATGAATAACGCCACACATAATTAATTACTGTGTATTTGTTTATTATAAGAAAGAAGTGGTAACCCTTCTCGTCCTAGCACTCCCATTGGCCCAAATTGCCCCATTAAGGTTTCAAAGGCTGAAAATATTTAGGGAAGCAAACCGCCTCAGCTTTCTCCGGGGGTACATCAACCGACCTTTTCCGTTAGCAGTCCAATATGGAACTAGAAAGAGGGCACGGGTCCAGGGATTTAAGCTGAAGATGAAATGAAAAGGCAGAACTTCAGAGACAGAGCACTTACTGTCTCTTGTCCTGAATAGTGTGCCAGCCCAGGTGGCTGAAACAACTCAAAACAGATTCCCTGTAATCGAGTCAACACTGACTCGTAGTGATCCTATAGGAAGGAGTACTAATTGCCCCGGTGTCTCCAAGGCTGTCACTGTTCATGGGAGTGGAAAGCCTATCGTTCTCCCACGGAGCTGCTGGGCTTCTGAAGCGCTCACCTTTGTAGATCGCAGCCGAAGCCATAACCACTACGAAACCAGGGCTCCTGAAAGCCGGCTTTTTAAAAATGGACAGATAAGGATTGAGCCCAGTCTCTGACATTCACTAGCAGCAGGGCTGTGAGATTTAATTTGTGTCGGTTTCCTCATCTGTAAAATGAGGTCAAAATAGCATCTAACTGAGAGATGATAAAGGTCGAAAAAAAGGGCACAAGTAACCCAAGTTGGTATCATGAAGGTGCTTTAAGAGAGTTCAATGCCCCAACACGCCTCTAATCCTCAAGAACCTCCCACCATGCCCCCAAACCCGCTCAGACCACACCCCCAGTGCGCCCAAAGCCCCGCCCCCTCCGGAGCCTGCTAGGCCTGCCCAGCCAACTCGACCTGGGTCCCCACAGTACCTGACCCATAGCGCACATCATGTGAGTGCAGCCGGACGTTGTGGCGCGTATTGAGCAGCTTCACCACTGAACCGCATGTAACCACTGCCAGATCGGACGCCCCCACAGCTCCCCACAAGCCCCCCAACAGCAGTAGCTGTACAAGAGCCATCCCGGCTGGATCCCGGAGTCCTAGCTAAGAGCCCGTTTCCCCCTCCCGGAACCGGAACCGGAAGCTCCCAGCGGAAAGACGGCGGGGAGGGACGAAGGGGGCCCGAGCTCGGGGCTTTCTGGTTCCTTTGGCTAGCGTGGCCTGAGGAGCCGGTTGGGCTGCGTTGCTTCCGATGCCCTCGCTCCGCTCTCGGAACTCGGTGCCAGCTGTCTTCCTAAACCGCTGCGGCCAGCGTGCGCCTCCGGGGGCAGAGCCCGGTGGAAGACGCAAGAAGAGGCCCGCCCACCTCCAGTGACAGGGGGCCGGAAGTGACGCAGCACGTCGACGCGGCGGCGGCGGCGGCGCCGGAGGGGCCGTGCGGTGGGTCCGTACCAGTCCTCTGGCAGTCTCGGTTCGACGACTCCATTTTCCTCGGCGGGGGCTGACTGCGTCCGAGCCGCGGCGGGGTTCAGGTAAGTACACTTCGGAGTGGCGAGGGCGTTCCTCGCCCGGCTCAGCGGGGTCACCGGGCCCCTGGGGCCTGGTCCGGCTTGGGAAGAAGCCCTGGGGAGCCATTTGCGGGAAGGAGAGGGGCCCTGGCCTTCCCTCTTCAATGCGTGGGGGAGGGAGGGCGGAGGAAAACCAGGCTGTTGAATCAACAGGCTTCCTGGGATCCCATCCTTCCTCTACAGCTTCTGAAAACGAGGCCACGCAGAAGGATTGGGGACCGCTGGGGCTTGGCGTTTCTGAGCCCGGATCAAAGGATCGAATTGTTTGTCTTAGAGCTAGGAATCCCTCGGAGCTTTCAGCCGTTCAGCTGTAGGACGATGCTGAATTTCAGCCGTGCCCGTGTTGGATAGTTCAATATCTGCATCCTTAAGCCTTTTCTAAAAACCAGGATTTCTCCAGTAGTTCCTAAAGCCCCTGAAGCCTTCCGGTTCTCCTGTTGGCTTATTTCCTTAAACACTTGGTAGATGTCTGCCAGAATATTAGAAGCGGCTGAGTCAAAACTGTGCCTTCTTCTGGTTTCTGCCTAGCCCATGCACTCTCGGATCATCTGGGGTAGTTCGTGTGTCTGGGTTATATAACAAGAACTGATACCCATTTTTCAAGGGAAGCCTAACCTCTTTGAAAATGCTTTGTGGAAATTTCACGGTAATAGCAGAAGTAGCAAGGTGGTGAAGTTATTAATGAACATGGAGAATGTAAACAATATTCAATTTGATGAAATTTATTTAGGGAAAACTGCTTTCCATCTGCTGCGTGAAAGTTATCGGTTCCTTAAGTCGTCAATGTATTGATGGCCAAAACATGGTTGCCCCGCATCAACAGTCGTGTCCGCGGAGACGAACTCTTTTATGTTGTTCTAAATGACTCTGTTGCACAACAGAAAGAACACTGCCAGGTTCAACGTCATCCACACAATCATTATGTTTGAGCCTGTTTTTGCAGTCCCTGGGTGCAGATGGCTGGCTGCTCAGTCGCCCGCTTGGGTTGGCAGTTCAGATCCTCCCAGAGGTATCTTAGATGAAAGGTCTGGTGATCTGTTCCCAGGAGCATACGGATGGTGTTCTAGTATCCCTCACATGCCCCATTAAAAAAAAAAAATTCTGTTCATACCTAAATTCCTACCTTTGCCAACTCAGTTTTTCTCCCGTATTCACTGACTACCAAACCCTGGTTTGTACCTTCCTTTAAAATCATTTTTGTTGACGTCACCAGTTGCCAAATCCTATGGCTACTTTATTTTCATATTCCTCCAAGGAGCAGCAAGCAACACAGTTAATCTTTTCTTGCAGTTCTCGTCTCTCTGGGCATTGATTCCCCACACCTTCCTAGATTTTTCTTCATTTCTCTGGTACTGCCTCTGGCTCTCTTGCTAGCCACTTTTGATCTCTACTTAATGTTTAAATGTTGGCATTCAGTCAAAGCTTAATCCTGAATTGTTTGCTTTGTATAGGAGCTTGCTTTAGGTGATCCAGGCATGATCCGATAGCTGGCAGTTTACGAATTGAAATCTCTAACCCAGCGCTCCCCCCCCCC